ACGCGTCTGGTGTATTTTTTTGCAGTTTTTCCCAGATATCCTCAAAGGTAAGTTTATTTACTTATTACTATATATTTTAGTTAATATAAGAAGATAAATTTCTTTGGAAGCATAGCCATACATTTTTTTATTTGGGCTCTTTGGAAAAAGTTCCTGCAGGGACCCAAGGTAGTTGGAAGGAAAGCTGTCACAGTGGTACCAACATTAAAGGGGCCAACAGTCACATTCCATATGTATAGTATATATCCTTTGTGTAAGGAAGGTTGTCAACTTTGAAACCATATAGATAGTTTAGTTTGGGGTGATGAGATTTCTTTTATCCTTGGTATAATATAATTTTTGCAACTTACCACTAACTGAACACTGCCAAGCTTGTGGCCAGGGAAAACCAAAATTTGTTTTTCTGCAGAAGTAAGAGGACTAACATCACATAGTCCTCGTGATTTTCCCTAGTTTCTAATGTAAATAGCCTCTGTGTTGGGGTTGGAAATGAAAAGACATGGATTTGATTCAAAAGAGCACAATTATTCTGTAAAAAAAAATATCAGCAATTACTAGAAATATATCAAAAACGGTACCTTACTTATCCTTTCTCAGTTTTAACAGCTCTTATGATGATGCAACTGATATTTCTAAATAAATTTTTTGTTAGATCATCAAATATTGTCAAAACATTGTCAGCAAATTTCGGACGAGATCCACCTGAGACTATAGCCAATAAATTAGTCCTAAAGAGCATTTCACATTGTGCGACACTTCCCTACCATGTCTGCATCTGAAATATGAGTACAATATAACTGTCTCCCAAAAATTATCATTTGCAATCATACCATAGTGTGCTTTTCTACTAGCGGTCGACATTGTAAATGCGTATTCCACTTTCCATGCTACAGGTAAAACATCCTACAATAGACAAAAGGTTGCGTGTTGGAATATTTTTTTCAAGGATTTCTTACCTGATCTTGATTAAATTTTACGCTGATTACTTTTCTATCACTACCCATTTTCTTATAGAGAACAGAGAGACACTTATCACTTTCTGATACTCAGTTGAGCATTGTTTATTTTTGCTGGAATGTCCAAAATGTGCGTGACAAACAGCTGAAAAATTGACAAGCCGTCAGGGTGCATTATATGATATAGAACTGGACTGCTAGTTAAGAAAAGAAGAGGACGACACTTTAAGAACACTGACATTTGTTAGTTGACAAGCTGTCAAAACTCTTGATGTTTTGATGAAATTTGACAGACAGTGACCAAGTAAAATATTTGTAAATCATCCTGTTTTATTTGAACTTTTCGGCTTCCAAGATTCATTAAAATAGTGCTCCAGCATGTCGCGAGGAAGCAGTGCAGGTTTCGATAGGCACATTACTATCTTCTCGCCAGAAGGCAGGTTGTACCAAGTGGAATATGCCTTTAAAGCTATAACCAAGCAGGTCTAACCTCAGTGGCTGTGAAAGGGGTTGATACGGCTTGCTGTGTCACCCAGAGGAAGATTCCCGATAAGCTCATAGATGCTGGAACGATCAACCCATTTGTTTCAACTTACTGATAACTCTGGCTGTGTGATGACTGGCATGATCGCGGACAGCAAGTCTCAGGTCCAGAGAGCCAGATATGAAGCTGCTCAGTTCAAGTATAAATATGGATATGAAATGCCCATTGATACAATGTGTAGGAGAGTAGCTGATATATCACAGGTTTATACACAAATGCTGAAATGAGACCACTAGGCAAGTAACTATTTTATATAGGGTTTGTCCGGAAAGTAATAGGACTGAGTCGATTTAAAAAAAATTATTAAGCCAATCGTTACATTTCTTTAAAACTTTCAAAATAGGCTCCTTCTGCGTCGATGCCGCGCTGCCAGCGCGATTTCCAACCATTGAAGGCATTCTCCGGAATAGCCTTGAGATCCGCGGTGCATGCTGCTTGGATCCCGTCTCTCGTCTCAAAATGCTTGCCTTTCATCGGCCTTTTCAGGCGCGGAAACAAAAAAAAAGTCGGGGGGGCCACATCTGGGCTGAAGGGCGGCTGCGGAGCGTTGGGATGCCGGCCTTAGTCAGGTAGCTGTTTACAAGAAATGTGGTGTGAGCCGGGGCGTTGTCGTGGTGCAACTTCCAGTCAGCTGCAATGTCTTGTCGGACCCTTCGGTTGAGTTTCCTGAGCACTTCCACGTAAAACTTGGCATTGACGGTTTGTCCAGGGAGTAACAAATTCATGGCGGACGATGCCTTTGATGTCAAAAAAGACATTAAGCATCGTTTTCACTTTGATTTGCTCAGTCTTCCCTTTTTTGGACGAGGAGACGCGTCGTGTGCCACTCGGAAGATTGCCTCTTTGTCTCTGGATCATACTCAAAGATCAACGACTCGTCACCTGTGATTAGGTTATTAAAAAATTGGGGGTCACTTTCACACATGTTAAAATTTTCTTGGCACACTTCCACTCGCCGCAATTTCTGGTCCTCAGTGAGCACTTTTGGGACCATCTTCGCGCACACCTTGCGCATGTTCAAATGCTGTGTCACAATGTCATGAACCACAGATTATGGTAAATTTAACATCTGGGCAATTAAACGAATACTTAGTCGACAGTCTGAGTTCAAAACTTTGTGCACAGATAGTCACATTATCAGTGTGTGTCGAAGTCGAAGGTCTTCCAGCACAGTGTTCATCAGCGACCTCTTCCTGGCCCTCCAGACAGGCCTGGTGCCACCGAAACACACCACTTCTTGCTAAAGCAACACCTGGGTAAGCCTGCTTGATTATATCAAACGTCTCTGACGCAGATTTACCGAGTTTCACACAGAATTTAATCGCGTACCTCTGCTCTAACGAATTTATAAATAATGGTATGAAATCTATTGGACTGTGCTTTTTTAATACAAGCCCAAGGGAGACTGGCGAGATTCTAGTGCCTTTCCAAATCTAACCAAATCAAAGAATATTTGTTCACAATGGAAATTATCAAATGTTTCTATACTTTCTAGGTAGATTAGGTTAGATGTTCTATAGTCTATGGATTAGGTATCTTGCTCCATTTCTTAGAATTTTCCACAGTTCTCATTTTTGGACTCTTACCTTCTTTATTTGTTGCCCTGTTAGATAGATATCTCATTCTCTTCAAACCTGGAATTTCTCAATCACAGGTTGTAATTTTCATTCTTTGCTGTATGGGTAGATAAATGGCTTATCCCTTTGATCCCTACTAATGGGCTGATACAATCACCCTACATAAATCTTGAAGAAAAATTTCAACCCTAGATTTGTCTCAGTCATGGGCTTACATTGTTTCTGATATTTAGGTAGATATTTTTCTCTATTTAGCCCTGGAGTTTGAATCATGGGCTTATTTTCTAAACTTTATTATAAGTCAGTTCATTGCTGCAATGTTAATTTTGTGTGATTATTCACATTTGTAATTTTATGTTTTTGTCTATTAAAATTACATCACTGCATTTTGGGCATTCATAAAGTGATTTTTCAAGTTCACCTTAAGCATTTTTGAATTCAAACTGTTTAATATCATTATCCAATTTATTAAATTCAACTACTTCCTCATGAAGTACAGATTGCTAGTTATGCTAATATTACAATTTTACAGATGAAAATCTGTACTGCCTTTTTTTGTAGTTATGATAATTACTATTTAATTTTGTGAAGTTTTACTAAATGTAGTGGTAATAAATAAATTTTTAATTTGAATATGAAAATGAGAACTAAATAACATATAAATTTTTTTACATTCAATCACTGCAGTCCTCCTAACACAGACTTAGTCTTAACTTTTTTCATTTAATTTTTTCTCCTTAATTGTGGAATTTCCCTCAATAATTTTTATAACCTATATTTGGAGATTTAATTATTGATCTTAGTAACTTTTTAGGGTGTTCAATGGTCTTGATTGGCTACGATGATGAGCTAGGACCATGCGTCTACAAGGCAGACCCTGCAGGCTACTATTGTGGCTACAGAGCAGTCAGTGTAGGTGCGAAACAGACTGAGGCTAACAGCTATCTAGAGAAAAAATTGAAGAAGAAGCAGGATCTTCAACATGATGATGTTATCCAACTTGCTATCAGCTGTTTATCTAGTGTACTATCAGTTGATTTCAAACCAACAGAGATTGAAGTAGGTGTTGTTTCTGCAGATAATCATAAGTTCAGGAAACTGACTGAGCAAGAGATTGACAGACACCTGACTGCGATTGCTGAAAAGGATTAGGAAGATAATCTGTTTGGTTTTCAATTATTGTAATTAAGATTTATTGGTTTACACCCTATCTAATAAAATTTCACAAACCATGAACTTTTTATTTCCTCTTGCCTAATATCCATTCTAAATTCAGTAGGAAAAATTCTTAGTTTTGAGAGTTCTGAAACTTTGTGAAGTACTTACTGGTATTTTAATATTTTATAAATATCAAAATTTGAATTTGGGTAAAATTTTCGATGCTGCAAAGCAACTGTCCACCAGTTTATATTAAAGTTTTTCCTCTTCAAAACATTTATAGTGATCATCCCTTTAGTCAAGTGACCTAAGCCAAACAATACAGAATAGAAAATCAAATGGACATATGGTAGGAAAAATAATTAGTATAAAATTAACATTTATTTGCACAAAAATCAAGGAACATGATATCCAAAAACACCTTAAACTGTATGAAAACATTTCATGTCGATGGCTCCACAGGAAGTAAGCCTATTTGCTGCAGACAAAGCGTCGCAGCTGCTGCTTTAGCCTCTTTCTTATTTTGACTTGCTACATTTGGTTTATATTCAATACCATTCAAAACCACCTGAAAAAAAAAAACGAATAAATAACTGTTCTGAATTTATAATGCTTCTTTCCAACAATGAAGTTCCGACAGTCCTGAACCGTCATTTCCAGTGGAACATCAGTTCAGTGCATAGCTAGGAAACATCATTAGTTTCTATGGGTGACTTCAGAGCTTTGTGCACCCCGGGCAAAGTATAAAATATGCGCAGAGAGCGGGGAGAGACCCCATATAATAATAATCCAGCTTTATTTATACGAAGTATAAAAAGGCGAAGTGTCGCTAAAAAGCGTTTTTCAACTTAGCCCAACAAACATTTGTGTAAATTTTCTAATCCCCATGAAAACAAAAAAGTTAAAAAAAACCTGTAACGAGTCCCTATTCATGGCCATGATCTACTTACTGGGCAATGAAATCAGAGATAAAATGCTTCAATCTTTTTTTGAAATTAGTTATAAAGTAGTGAGTTAACTCTGTAGGCAACGCGTTGTATAGCTTGATAGCATATACCTACGACCTTTTACATATGTTGAATGTCTCGGGATAACCAAGATATGTTTATTCTTTGTGTTCAGTTGATTAACATCTGAGTATCTGATAAATTTGGTTGATAGATATAGAGGGGCTTCTGTTGTGATTATTTTATGGGTCAAGGTCAATACGTGCATTTTTTGTAGCTCTATATTTTGAACACCCAGCTCACGATATTTATGTGACACTGTCTCACATTTTCTCACTCCACAAGTAAATCTGAGCCACGCAACCATATTAAGGTTTCGCACAACTTCAGCCTGAGACCAGTATTCATACTTTTCCTATGAGGAAATAATTGCTTTAAGACACCGAATGATGATGAATATAACTGCGGATGATTTTAACGGGTTAATTTTGAGATCATGGGCACAAGATAAATTTATTAAATCATTATTAATCAAATGTTCGGCATTTTTTAAATCTTGAATATCAAAGCCAAAGTACAATCGAGTGTCGTCAGCATAGTGATGAATACTGCAGTGTTCAACGTACTCGTAGAAGTCAGAAATGTAAATTGAGAACAATAATGGTCCCACAATGGAACCCTGTGGTACCCCTAGTTTAACTGCTATCTCCTCCGAGATACTTGACCCAATTAAAACCATCTGATCCCTGTCAGTGAAATAACTTTATACAAAATTAATTGCAGATTCCGAAAAACCAAAGTATAAGTATTTCACAAGAATAGATGGTTCCAGAGTATCAAACACCTTTGTATAATCAAGTAACACTAAGCATGCTAAATTTCCTTGATCTACACATCTGATTAAGTCATCCGTGATTGGATTTCAGGAATGATACCATTAGAGAAGACGTAGTCAGATACCTGACGTTTCATGGCTAGTTCTAATAACTTGGGAAATGCTGGTAGTACATTTATCGGGCTCAGATGTGAAATATCTGTAGGGTTGCTTATTTTAGCTAGGGGGAAAACATATGCTTTTTTCCAACAGTTGGGGAAGTTTGATGATGCAATTGCATATTTGATGATAAGAGTTATATTTTCAATTAGCAAATCAAATATGATTGTTAGCATATTTAGGTTGATTCCGCCAACACCCATGGCATTACTTCTGATTCTCCGGAAAAATCCCATAACATCGTGGCAAGTTATTTGGGAGAATGTGAATTGTCTGGCTTGCTGGCTGGTGTTATATTTTTCCAGCATTTGTAACTCAGACTTAACAATGGTAGGTAAACTAGAAAAATACTTATTTATGTCATTAACGTCCAGCAGATGGCCAGGTAACTCTTTCCATATCAATGGCGATTACAATAAAACTAATCCGAACATGCTATTTACCTTGAACAGGAAGTTTTTCTTGTGATCTGGCCCACACTCGAAGTCCAGTACATACTCGGGCGCGCCCAGCTTCCTCTTGGACGCATACTCCCCTAACAGCGACACCGGATGCTTGCCCTGTAGGGTCTTGATAGCAGGCTGGCCCTTCAGCTTTTGCTTCTTCTTCTGGGGCTGCTCGTCGCTGCTGACCAGACCACGTTTGTCCAACTTTACGTCGAGTAACAGTGGTTCCAGAGTGCCGGTCTTCTCTTTGCCTAAGCCCTCGCCGGGTTTCCAGCCCATCTTCTGGAGGAGGTGCATGCCCATTCCGCCTGTCACGGGGGCCGCAGTTTGAAGTTGGTCCTGGGAGGGAGGGGAGTTAGGAACATGGAGCGCACTTGGTTGTTATCGATATTAGTACAATCTATTTTAATATCCTACGTTAAAAAATAAAACAGATCTCCGAAGGCGATGGGATGAAACCTGAATTTTCTACTAGACCTGGACAGACGGTAGACGTATTCGGGTTCCACAAGGAACTATTCCAGAACCGTTCCGATTCCAGATACAGGTTCAAACTAAAGACCAGTGTGAATATAGGGTGTCCCAGAAGTCGACGTCAAGCCGGAAACGGGGATAGGCCAGGTCATATCTATCAGAAAAATATAAAATCTGTGTCGCGTACTTTTCAAATTATAGTAGTAGTAGAAAGATTTATTTAGCACATTTGGCTACATAAACAGAATAATTGTAAACAACTTAGAACTAGTAAATTCAAGCCATATGGTGTATGATGTAAATGCTGGGCAACCTATAATTGTACATTTAACAAGTGATTTCTCAATTTTACTTTAAATTTTGTCAAAGTTTTCTGGTCTTTTATCTCCGAGTATAATTTATTATATTCAATCAACTATTGATGGAATACAGATTTGTAGCATATGTTATACTTTTTGGTCATTAAATGGAAGTCATCTTTATTTCTGGTATTATGTAAATGATGGTCGACATTTGATGATGTTAAATTAGTTAGACTTGATGGAAATATATTATTTTTACTTTATAAATGAATATCATTACAAGATATTTGATAAAATTTTTTACATTGAGCCATTTTAATTTGCTAAGCATTTGCCTAATTGGAGTATATTTATCTTTATTTAGTATTATTCTCATGCACTTATTTTGTAAAATTTGCAGTCTTTCAAAAATGGAATTATTTGCTAAATATAGAATAGTCACAAGAAATTTGGAAGAATGATGGTATTATAGATAATTTTTCTGCTATATGAACTCAGACATCCAGAAACTCTCGATAAATATCCCAGTTTACTACTAATCTTATTTATAACTGTTTCATAATGAATATCAAAGATTAATCGAGAGTCAACAAAAACCCCCAGGTATTTAAAATTTTCTACGAATTCAATATCTTCACCATCAATATCCAGTTGAACATTTGTACATTGTTTTTTTCTGATTAACAAGGCTTTCGTTTTACTTGCATTTAATTTTAGTCTGTTAGATACGAACCATTTTGAGACAAGCTTCAAGTCTTCATTTATATAAGAGATACCAGACTGAATATTTTTAGTACTTATATAAATCATAGTGTCATCGGCGAAAATCTGAATTTTGCATTTTTTGACTATGGCAGGTAAATCATTTATGAATAAAATAAAAAGAAGTGGTCCCAGGATACTGCCCTGTGGAACACCCAACGTATTTTCAATTTTTGATGAAATAGTGTCATTAACTTTTGTAACTTGCATCCTTTTAGACAAATAATTTCTAAACCAATCTAAAACACTTCCTGTTATACCATATGCCTTCAATTTACCTAACAAAATATCTCTATCAATCGTTTCAAATGCCCTCTTCAAATCCAATAATACTGCTATGACAACTTCTTCTGCGTCTATGGCTCTTCTCCAATTCTCAATTACCAACTGGAAAGCTGTTTCTGTGGAATATTTTTTTCGAAAGCCTGCTTGCGCCTCCACTAAAATTTTGTTTACTTCTATAAACCGCATTAATTGGTCATGCACTATGGACTCTAATAATTTTTCAATGTCTGGTAACACATTTACTGGTCTCATATCGCTGCATCTTTTAGAATTTTTAATTTTGGGAACTGGTGTTATTGTAGATCATTTCAAATTTTCAGGAAAAGAACTGCTTCTCAGTGAACAATTGATCCAATTTAATACAGGATATCCCAAAATTTCGAAACAGTTTTTCAGCACGTTTTTAGTAGTGATTTCGGCACAGTTGTTATTTGATTTTAAACTGTTTACTTTTTTCTTAGATAATTCAATGATACGCTGTGAAATTTTGAAAGTGTATGCAACATTTCCCCCTGGAAACTGATTTTCATATAGTCAGCTGCAGCATTGGCAGTACCCACAATATCAATAATACTTTTCACAAAATATTCATTTAGTTTGTTTGCAATCACCAAAGACTTTGTTTCGGTACCGTTTTCGAATTGAACTTAATTTACACAATCATGCGGCTTCGAATTGATTAGTCTTTTTAAAGTCTCCCACATCTTTACACTGTCGCACTTGTTATTATCGATTTGTTTATCGTAGAATTTCCTTTTTCTTCTCTAATTACATATACACATTTATTCCTAAGAGTTTTATATACCTCCCAATCATCATTTGATTTTGTGAATATACATTTATTGTATTGTTTGTCTCTCAAATTTTGAGCTGCCTTAATATTCTTGTTATACCAGGGTGTATTTTTTGTCGAGCAAATCACTTTTTTATCAGTTGCAAGATCTAAACAAGTTTTTATATTTCCTATTATGTTTTCATATATTTTTTCCATATTCTCACCAAAATTCCAATAGCAGCCAGCAAGTTCTCGTTCAAGTTTTTCGTACTTAATAGTATTTACGATTTTCTTAATTTTTGTATCAGAAAAATGCCCTACCAAGGGCAGCATTGTCCAACTGTGATCGCTAACTTTATGTGTATGTACAGCTTTAATCCCTGCACATTCAAAATTTACAATAACAAGATCTAACAAAGTCTCTGATAATGATGTTATTCTGGTACTCTCTTCAATTTTTTGCTTGAACCCATAGTTGTTTATGGTTTCTTTCAATTTTCTTGTTTTCATGCTTTTACCATAATAATTTAAATTAAAATCACCTAAAAGTATTATAATGTTTCTAAAATTCCACATTTCTTCGCATTTTTCTTCAAAAAACGTTAAAAATGTATCCGCATCGCTGTTTGGTGAACAGTAAAAAGTACAAAGATCATAACGTTTCCCAAATAATTTGAACTGTATATGTGCATACAATGGTACAATCGAATAATGTGATCTGTATTTTGTGGTAAACATAATCACTACACCTCCAGTATGTCTGGAGTTGGAGTTGCATCTGTAGGTTTTATAATTAGTAATTTGTAATTTACCATCAGTGATGTCTTCTGTAGCATGTGTTTCGGTAAGACATAATACAAGTGGTTTTCTCCATCTTAAAAACTGTTGAACTTCATCCATATTATTCAGGACTCCTTGTATGTTTAAATGGTATATTGAGTTATATTCATCACTTACAGATTTAGCCACGTCTTGCATATCTGAGCTTAGTAGTTGCTATTCATTTGCATAACTAATTTTTCCCTCTCACGTTCAATTTTCCTTTTATATACTTCAAATGGTCCATAGGCTTTGGAAAAAAAATCGGGAAAATCTACATCCTGCGATTCCGTTATTAACAACTTCAGCTGCTTCCGTTATTCTGTCCCGTAGCTCAGCTAAATTTCCGATTGGCTTTGAGTAAATTTGTTCTTTCTCTGCTCCCCAGTAAAAAAAAATCGGGCGAACAGGCTGGCCACGAAATTGTACCTCATAACCATGAATTATTAAAAGTAGCGTTACTGTCTTGCTGTCACTACATAGAATGACACTGTCGGTACGCCGTCTAAGAAAAAATTGAAATTTGTAGTAATGGGAACTAAAATCATCACAGGATGTAGATTTTTCGATTTCTTTAAAGCCTATAATTCGAGTACACCACCTAGATTTTTTTATGTCTTTGATAACTATTATAACTTGGCCTATCCCCCGTTTCCGGTTTGACGTCGACTTTGAGAAATTCTCAATCATATATTATGAAAAACTAACAAACGGTCCTTACTGGAGCAAAACTAGTTTCCATTCTATGCTTTTGGGATATGTCCACATGTACTCAGCAAGTAATTTTCACCAAGAAAAAGCTGGTTAGATGTATGATCGGAGTTACTAGTACACTTTTTTGTAAAAATATTTGTAAGCATTTATGGACAATCGGAAACATACAGTAACAGTGTTTTTGGACTTCAAACGGGCGTTTGAGACTATTGACAGCGATAAATTACTTACAGAATTGCTTCACTACGGATTTAAAGGATCTGTATTCAAAATTCTACAAAAATATTTCATTGACAGAAGTCAAAAAACCAAAATTGGATCTACATTATCAAGATCAAAAAATATTTTCGTTGGTATACCACAAGGTAGTAAACTAGGTACACTACTATTTATTTTATACATTATATATCAGATGAAAATACAGACACTGCTTTAGAAATGCTAAATTCTGACTTGGCAAAAATCGTAAATTGGTTAAATGTAAATAAACTAAAATTGAATACTGCTAAAATAAAATGTAAGCTAATAGGGAAATACCCAAATGAAAATACTATCACAGGATATATGGAGAAATCATTGAAAATGTTGAATCAATTAAATATTTAGGTATATATACTGATAGTAAACTAAAGTTTGAGGATCACTAAGAATGCATTATTTCAAAAATTGCCAAAAAACAAATTACTGTTATAGGGCTTCTCATAGTCTTGGTACCTATTCCACGAAAATAGTTTATAATACAATTATTCAACCGCATTTACTATATTGTTCAACTATCTTGTTCACAGCCAATGAAGCTGTATTCTCAAAATTACAAGTCTTGCAAAATACAGCTATGAGAATAATATTGAATAAAAATAAGTACACCAAAATAAAATCTATGTTACAAGAATTGCAGTGGTTGAATACAAAAATATTCATATTTGGTTCTTATTTTTATATTTAAAATAAAAAATCATCTTTTGCCAGAACATAGAATTGAATAATCATTACCACAATTATTATACAAGAGGAAATATAGATTTTCATTTACAAAATTGCAATAGTAACATAACTAGCAACTCAATATTTCAGAAAGGATTACTTGAATTTAATAAACTAAATAATGATATAAAATTTACTTGTAATTTAAAGATATTTAAAATAAGATTACAGGAATATTTCATGGGCAATGAAAATTCTTAGAGATGCAAATTTTGTTTTTTTTTTCTGAATGTCTGTATGATATGTAATTGTTTCGTTTTTAGAAGAATGTAATTCTAGCAATCAAATAAATCTTAAACAAACAAATCGACTTAACCATCTTTATTTTTATATGAAATGGCGTGTATACTTTTATTAACAAAAAATAATTTCAATTCGTACTGGACTAGCTGTAGACTTAAATATGTTAATCCAATTATAAAATCGATGCCAAATCTCCTAAAATACTGGGTCTACGCATTTTCAATACGATATCAAATCATATCAAGTAGTATTCAAATATTAATAATGTCTTGCAAGTAAATGTTACTATGCCGTCTCCGAGTTTGTTATTTTATGATTTGTTTATTTGCAAGTAGAACGGTTCGCTGATAGTTCCCCGTGGAAACTCGAATGAAGCAATTGAATCCATATTTCTATCATTATACGTCAGAACGGTCCATAGCAGTTTTGCTTTGTTAAGTCTGGTTGCCTACGTATCAGCATTCGTTAACGTAATCTACAAGAAGATGCCCCACCTTATGGTCTATGACGTTGCAATTCTCATCTTCGTAGTCATGCTCTGCGGCAAAAATGGATAAAAATGGTTCATTCTTGTGCCTAGATATATAAGTACGGGCATATCAGCTCCAGAAAAACTTTTTCATATATTTAATAACAGGGTCGATAAAAGTTCCTCTTTCGGAAATATCATTGCACTGCTGTAAATATCATTTTGATTTTAACGAGAACGGGGAAAGACTTTATTGCTTTTCTGTCGAGATAATGTGAATATTATGATAGTGATCATGTTGTGGCTGCTGAGGGAATACTCCTTGAAAACTGTCTGTTTAAACGACGTGGATATGCATAGGCGTGCCTCAGGAATCAAAAATCCTTGCCAAAAGTCCAAAAAAGTTGTTTGATTGTGTCGTTTTAAAATAATTAGCTGTGTTGAGACGTGGGAAAATAGATTGCGGAGGCCAAGGAATGTATAGTTATTACAATATAATATCTACTTGCCAATTGACAGACAACAATATCTAATTGAAAAAGAGTTTAAAAACCCCCATTAGAGTCTACTCTATTTCATAGGTTTTTAAATGGGGTTCGATATCTTCTCGTAGACTATGTTAATCAAGGATACCAGACGTAGCGAATGCTTTCATATTCGCGAAAAATCAAGTAAATTCTCGCTGTAAGGTTTATAGTTAGAAATAAATAATCGGGAATTAAGACTTAATAATGAAGCAACTAAACAAGAAGTAAGCTCTCAGAATAGGGTGGCTAAAAAAGTAAGTACCAGTTCTTATAGCAAATACTTGACCTTTCAGCAAATTACTGAATTTTGAGAGAGTAGTTTTTTGCTTCATATGCTATAGCCGAGGGAAGTATTGTGATTAATTATGATAGTTTTCGGACCTTAACATTTTTTAGATGTTTGTAATTTCTTTCGTCAAATTCTTGTAAGATCCTTGCATAGGTATCAGATTCATCAGCGAAAATACATGGAGAATTTTCTGATCAAAATTTTAAGCGTTTTCTTGTTTTCCAGATACTGTTACAACTTTTTCGCATACCAAAACATTTTGATGATGAATCGGTGTTTTCAAAGACCAAGCTGTTTGTTTTATAGCTCCCAATTCCTTAAGCATTCAGTCAGATGTTCTGTAACCTGGTGCCAAGGGCGTACCCAGCTCAAAACCTAAGAGGGACCTTAAAATTTACGATTTGATAATTCATATGGATATAGAAATCTATTTTTACTAATGCTGTTTTGAAACATTAGAGCAAACATTGCGCGAGATGCTTTTTTAAGTATTAATTTAGCAGTTTGCAATTGAAAGCAACACTTGAGATAGTATATGACAAATGTTCAATCTCAAAAACAAATTTGTGATACTTTCACCAGTGTGATCTCCGACACGGTAAGAGATACGGGTTGGTTGAATGGTGGCCAAGTTTCGAATTCATATATTTTTCGAAAATGCATCTGAATTTCCCCAAAATCGCTTCTAATATTTTCTAAATTTGTTTGAGATAGGATTTCAAAATACATTGCCACTTTATTACCTCTGCAAGCTGGCATAAATAGAACATTAATATGGTTTTCATCTCTTATCCTCCGTCTCAACGTTGATTTTTCTTATGTGTGCTATTTCGGCATAGGCGAATTGCTTTTGATTCTGATTTCTAATATTATAACAAGTCATACATTGTTATAAAAGAATGTCTCCTGAGTAAACCTCGAAGTTATCATAGCCATTTATTTCATACAGGGTGTCCCCAAAGTTGGGGTTTTCCTTTACATGACGTGTAGATCTTGAAAACATAAGCAATTTTTCTTAGTACCATATAAACCAATGTCTTAAGGGAACCGAGATAAAGGGCTCTGCAACATCAAAAATATCTGAATACCGTCCTGTAGCCGCGACATCACCGACTGGTACAAGGTCACTGGCTCAACCCGACGACAGAACTGGGTCGGGGTCAGTGTGTCAGGTCAGTATGCAACCTTCAACCGACGGTTACGGTCACGCCTGTAGAGGTAATCGCGTAGACGAGAATCCCTCAACAAGCACTAGAGACGTGGCTAGAGAAGTGCAAGTATCAAAAACTAAAGTGTGGCAAACGCTGCGTGAAGAGGGGCTGTATCCGTTTCACGTCCAACGTGTACAAGCCCTTCAACCTGACGATTTTCCAGCAAGAGTGCGGTTTTGTGAGTGGTTGTTGCATCAACATGACAATAATCCGGACTTTTTGAAGTGCATATTGGTGACAGACGAATCTACATTCACGCGTAATGGGGTGAATAACTTTCGCAACAGTCATGTTTGGTCAGTAGAAAATCCGCACGCTGTCCGTCGAGCACATTTTCAACAAACATTTTCGGTGAATGTTTGGGCTGGCATGGTGCGTCTGCTCGGTAGCGCATCAGCTGATTTCATTTTTTGTTGGAGCGGTATGATTTCGGGCAGAGACGTACTTAGCCCTTCTCGTCAACTGGAGAGTGAGTACTTTTTCCTTTATTTTTTTTTTACTTGGTCGCCCTCGTTTCACTACACATTACATTTGTTATTTCAAGGGTAGTTGTTTCTGAAAAGGAAAACCCCAACTTTGCTGACACCATGTAGAATGTTATTGTGTAATTTGTTTGAAATTTGTAGACAATGTGGATGTTGGAAAAGTTTTGTTTCGGACTAAAGTCAGGAAAAAATAAAAACCACTTAGAGTAAATTGGGAAATACTTTGATTTTCCAAACTGTCCAAGTTCCATTTTTTTATTTACATGTAATTATTAATGCATAATGTTACGCAGAAATCCACTGATGGTTCGTACCACAGTAAATAATGATCGTGTGATATTCGTTTTACCGTTTCCGAGATCCCAAAGGCACACTTAACATATACGGGTATAATGCTTTTAGCAAAATTTATATCTAACACAGATTTCAACTAACCCTAGTAATTCCTCATCTCATAGATATTGATTCAGCTTGTGGAGAACCCTGAATGGATAATTTAATTTTTATAAAAAATGTTCTCTCTATTTAATTTTTGAGTTAGGGTACGCCCTTGCCTGGTGCTTCAAGCTTTGAAGCGGCACATTTTACCCCACTTGGACACTGGAAGAAAAAAATTGACGTTCATACTCATAGATGCATGAACTATACCTGTATACTTGTCAACAATGTTCAAATAAGTATAGAGACTCAAGAGAAATAGGATCACTGACGGAAAAATCTTTCAAGTTCGAACTGCACAAGCGGCGGCGCCAATCTTCCCAGGTGTCAGACGTTCTTTCAGCGGCGGGCAGTCTCGGCGAAGGGGTTGCCTCAGTCGAAGGGTTGCCTCGTGGGCGGGGACTGATTTAACCGCCGAGTGCTCCTACAACTCGCGTCAATACACTTTGGTTCAAACATTGTCAATATGTACAAATCCAAACTTGTATTTACCTGGTGTTCTAGCAACTAAAAAACTTACCAATTAACTTCTATGACCATGGCAACGTGTCCGTTCGGTGCACCCTGATATAACGCTATAACGGCCTGAAACAAATTCTCAGGTGGCAGATTTCACAGATTAGAAACCAGGTTTTGATTTCTAATTTACGAAATCTCGTTACTAAACGCATTTCACTATGAGGGTGTAAAATGTGTCTAGTGTACAGGCACAGATTCCACCTCTATGTCAAGAAATGGTCTGTGCCTGCGGTAGGAGGGCACTTTTAGAAAAAGCCCAAACCTGAAAATTTGTTTAAGGCATGAAGACTGTAACAAAACCATTTAAAACGCGTGACGTTTCGTTGAAGTTGATATTTACCCGGTTGAGTTTTTGGCTAAAAACCACCACGAAAAAAGCGTAAAAAAGTCTCAAAAATGCTATTCACTTGCGATGTATATTGACTAGTCAACCTATTTAATATTGCATAGATAATCCTTGTGTCTATCTACTGTAGACTTTAAGGTAGTTTTTGTCTTCATATTAAATGGTTTCATTACCAATTTTCAAGATTGAATTAAAGAACTTTCAAACTCATCTGGAATACATATGAGGTACTGAGAAAAGAACTACTGATTCACAACTTATTAAAGATCACTATACAGGGTGTTTCAGTTTATTGTTGCATAACTTTAAGATTCGATAGAACTTTTAAAATTAATGCATGAAGTCTATATAAACATGGGTCGAAAAATGCGTGGCTTTCGAAATACAGGGTGTTTAAATTTACTTTCTAAAATAGTTTTTTTTAATATTTCGAACAATATTTGATGTATAACAGTGAAAATTGGTATACAAGGGTTTTTTGGTACGACAAAACGAACCATGGGCATAGTTTTACTGTAGCCGCTAGAGGGCGCTCTCTACTGTACCTGTAGTGTATTAAAATGACCGAAAATTTTTTCTTTGTGCAATTTTTTGCTTTTTGAATAAAAAAAATGATTCTTCGCACTTTTCAACATAAAAAAGCTCTCTTGTGAATTTTCGTTATAGTTAGCCGTTTTTGAGATATTTCGATTTTTAAGGTTCGATGCATTTTTAATTATTTATGATAAAATAACGTTAAAAAGTCAGTATCTCGATATATCTTAGAAGTAGGCTGTGCCTGCAAATATTTTTGAAATTGAAAGCAGAATAAGGTTAAACGTCAATTACTTGTCAGTTAGTTTTGTTGTCTGTTGAAACCTGAAACGTTTGTTTGCAATTGTCAATGCACGAAATTTAGTTTCTTTTACCTGTTTTTTTTTTTGTAAGTTTTATAAAAATGCCATTTTTATTCTCCAATCAAGAGTTAGCGGATATTCATTTTGTGTATGGCTTTGTAAATGGACATGCAGCAGAAGCAGCCAGAGAATACGCACGAAGATTTCCAAACACCGTGTTCTTAGAAATGAACATAGACGTCCTTACCATTTGCAACCTGTGCAAGGATTACAGCCAGGGGACGGAGAACGAAGAATCACATTTTGTCAGTGGATTCTTGATAGAACTGATAATAATAGGGAGTTTTTAAGTAACGTTTTATGGACCGATGAGTCATGCTTCACTAGACGTGGAGTGGTAAATTTTCATAACCAACATATTTGGTCGCATGAAAATCCGCATGCAGTTCGGGAAAGAAATTTTCAGCATGAATTTAGTGTGAACGTGTGGATTGGTATTTACCGTAATCGACTATTTGGACCCTACCTTTTGCCTGCAAGGTTAAATGCTGCGACCTTCTTGGAATGTTTAAAGGCTGAACATGCAAATATGTGGGAGGATGTTATGTTAGATTTAAGAAGATTGGCCTGGTTCCAGCTTGATGGTTGTCCAGCTCATTATTCGAGAATAGTTAGAAACTGGCTGGACGAAAATTATCCAGAAAGATGGATCGGCCGTGGCCTCCACGATCCCCAGACCTAAATCCATTACATTTCTTTGTGTGGGGATTTCTAAAAGAAAAAGTGTACCAGACTCCCGTAATCATAAGAGATATGCTAATAGGCAGAATCAGGAATGCATGTGATGAAATAAGGCCTTATTTGAATAATGCTATACCACGTTCGATCATTCGTAGATGTGAATTGTGTATTGAAGAATTGGGTTTACATTTCGAGCAACTACTTTAGATTTTGTATGTTTGTCCTAACTATCTAATAGCATTTTAGTTGTAAATAATTAATTTAATTTGTTAAAAATAATATTGGAAAATTAAACAAATTAATATTCTGTGTTTTGTGTTTATTTGGAGTTAGGAATTATTGCTGTATTTAAAAACACAATCTAAACGATCATCTTAATTAAAAAATTAAATATTATTTTCCCATAGATATGTAATTAAAAATGCATCGAACCTTAAAAATCGAAATATCTCAAAAACGGCTAACTATAACGAAAACTCACAGGAGAGCTTTTTAATGTTGAAAAGTGCGAAGAATCAGTTTTTTATTCAAGCAAAAAATTGCAATAAGAAAAATTTTTCGGTCATTCTAATACACTACGGGTACAGTAGAGAGCGCGCTCTAGCGGCTACAGCAAAACTATGCCCATGGTTCGTTTTGTCGTACCAAAAAACACTTGTATACCAATTTTCACTGTTATATATATATATATATATATATATATATATATATCAAATATTGTTCGAAATATTTAAAAAAACTATTTTAGAAAGTAAATTTAAACACCCTGTATTTCGGAAGCCACGCATTTTTCGACCCATGCTTATATAGGCTTTATGCATTAATTTTAAAAGTTCTATCGAATCTCAAAGTTATGCAACAATAAACTGAAACACCCTGTATTATGGGTATATGGTTTAAAGTACTCCAACTTGTTCTCAGAACCTCATATGAAAACTTCAAATCATTTAAGTTTGACGAACATAAATCTGATAAGTGTTTTTCCAATTCCATTTGATACCTGCAAAAAAGGAAACAGTAATATATCCGGCCACTAATACCTTTTTGGCCCAGGCTTGAAATCCAGACGATAGCTCTGCTTGTGACAGGATATTTGCTCCTGTTGTGCCGGTAAATTGGCCAAACTGTTGTTTACTAGAAGCCCAAGACTGCATCTGAAAGTGTATAATCTTGATACATAACTCAAAAATCGCATAGACGAAGTAGAACCCTTCAAGCGAAAAACGGGTAAATACAGCAAGTTTTAGGTTTCAGAAGATATCTTCAATCTCCAGTGTATCATGACACGATTCAATCAAAATTGTAGATCAACGAAAATAACTTATAAGTCAAATATTGTTGCTTACCTCTCTATTAATTTTGTGCATTTGGGTCAGAGCTTGGACATCATGCGGGTTTTCTTGCAATTTTCTCATTGCTGTTAGCCTCTGTGACACTATAGAGCTAATATCAACTTGTTGCTGAAAAATGAAACGAATCGATGTAGACACGTGTTTAATAAATGATGCACACATTTGGAACAGTCAAATGGAATTTCTTATATCAAACTGAAATTTCTTGTCAGTTGCTATTTTTGAAAAATTCATACTGCTTACTCCAGTAGCTTGCCCTATGCTGTTCCTCCAGAAAGGACAACATATAAATAACACGTCGGGCACAGCTAATAGATATACTTCATTGGCAGCATATTCAGTAATAATTTTTCGCAGAGCAAATATCACTGCTATTATACAGATGCAGACCAATACACATAATCATCTAGATGCGATCTTGCTATTCAACCAACTTTCTATCTTTCACATCTTCTCAGAGATAAACACTACAGACTACTTGGCTTTCTGCAACCAGTAGTGTATGTCGTGTCGTTGAGTCATTCCTCCATAGATGGCACTCATAGCGAGCACACTAAAAACTACCTATTCTGTAAGGTGACATTTTGTTCCTTTTTTGACGTCTTTTATTTTTTTACATAATACTCCTGCCGGTCTCTCTTTGCCTAAAGCACCTTTCATCTTGAAGATCCTCCATTTTTATATCCTCAAAAACAGCCTACTCACCTGTCCAGCAACTGTCACTGGAAATACTTGCGGCCCAGGAAGCGCCACAACACTTGCCGGCGCTGCCACAGGTGGCGCAACGGCAGCAGGCGGCACAATCGCAGGCGCTACCACAGCCGCCACCGCCTTCGCAACGGGCGGTACAACAGCAGGCAACAGGGGCGCAGCGGGCGGAGCTTCGATCGGAAGTGGGGGTAGCGGTACGTCAGCCAATGGAACAGAGGCAGTTGGACGGGGCGGAGCTTGCTTGTCTTCCGCCTTGCTCGCTGTGGCCGGGGACACGGGCAGCCACTCCTCCCCTTTGCGGTGCTGCTGGCCGCTGCTCACGGGGAATTGCATGCGCAGCTCGCTGGTGCGCTCTACGAGGGATTTTACGGGCAATGGCACGGAATTCTGTAACAAAAAATAGTAGAGTCAAATATAATATCTTCGTAATCCATACCACATGAATTCTACATGTAAATGACCTATTTTATTTTGTTCGAAAAATCATTCAAATAATTATGCTGACTTAAATGTTATTTTTGTTTTCCTGGCGTTCAGTACGACTGTGTGCAAAAGTCTAATCAAAATTGCATATCTGAGATATTTATATAACTCTTTACAATTTAAGATGTATCTGGAAAAAGCAACTCAGAAATTAAAATTACTGTTAATCAGACAGTAGGTTTCTTTTTTACCTTAATGTTCATTGTGATTGAAGTTGGCCTATCTTTAATTTGGAATGGATGATGGAACGGCTTATCAGTATCACTATCACTATCATCTTTCTCAGAAAGACTGGACAATTCACCAAGCTCCTCTTTCTTGGATAAAGTCTTGCAGAAATCAGTCAACTCTTCTATAGTTTTGCCTCCAGACTTGATGGCTGCTATCACTTTCTCTTGAGCCTGTGGGCCTAAAGATAGAGCTGCTGGTAGATTACCCGATTTCATCATGTTTATGGCATTTCTTCTAGCTATTTCTAGAAGTTTTTTCTTATCAATTTTAGAGGAACATTCTCTATCTTTAGAGGTGGACCTTCTCTTGCGGTCTCTTTCATGTTCTCTTTCCCTATATCTGGAATAAAACAAACATGATAGAAAAATTAGAGAGATTATTTAAAAGTAATTGGCGGAAGAAGGAATAGTTTTGAAATGTAAAGAACAATATTTCTTAGGCAATTATCAAATTGTTCTCTGCAATAATCCCTTCGCTATCACATTTCTCGATTATGCTAACAAAACACAACAATTTAAAGATATTCTGTCATGAACTTAGAAACTGTCTAATATGTAAACTATTATACCATGTGTCTGTTCTACAATTTACTTACTTAAAATCCACTTATTTAATTATGTTATAGTTTAGTTGTAAGTTAGCTTGTCATTAAGAATGATTGTATTCTTCAGATAATAAAGCATATTTATATACCATACAAAACACATAAGTTAACTTGGAACTGATTTTTTCCCCAAGCAAGTTATATTATTTTAAAATATTTTTTGGAAAAAAAATTAGAACATTTGTCTTCAGTAACACCTTATCATTCATATTTGCATTTCTTATTTTTAACTCAGAAAATGAATAAGTTATATATAGGGTGCGCCATCTTTTATGTCGGTATGTAAACATAAAATAACTTTGAAGACCAAAAATTGATTTCTATATATCGGGTATTTTTATTAAATATGGTCCTTTACAATTGTAAAACTAGTCCCAATAAATTTATTGGGACTAGTTTTTGAACACAGCATCTATCAAGTAGACACCTTTATTGGCCAAAACAAAATGTGCCCGTTTTCCTGCTTTTTAGCGGCGATTGCGGTACGAATGTTTGCCTTGAGTTCTTCAGTGGTCTGGGGCTTGCAGGCGTACACTTGACTTTTCAAATAACCCCTCAAGAAGTTCGGTGGGGTCAAATCTGTAGATCTGGGTGGCCAGTCAATGTCACCTCTCTTTGACATCAGACGTCCAGGGAATTTTCGTTGCAGAAACTGCATTATTTCATTTGCAGTGTGGCATGGCGCACCATCTTGTTGAAACCAGTAACCATCAAGACCTTTTTCACGCATTTGTGGGCAGACATAATGAGCTAACATCCACCGATATCGATTTCCATCGACCGTTTGATGATCAAAAACTGGATTTACACACTTTGCCTTGTGTTCCCAATTACATTTTAAAACATCAAACACTAGCACCAATCTCATTGATGGAGTAAGTAACGAAATTCTAATCAGCATGGTTTGCTATTTACTATTTTCAATTTTATTTTAAGCTCCTGATGACGGCAGCATAGCCTGTTGAAAGCTCGAGTATTTGTAAGTCAAAAGGGTACACTTAGCACAATTTGTCGATATCCCCAAAGACAAGTCTTTCACCTAGCTAGATATTATCGACAATAACTAAGAATCATATATATATATATATATATATAGAACTGTCAGACTTCAATATAATAGCAAATAATTTCATGTAAATTGAATAAAACTCAGGGTGGCATTTAATATGTAAAACTCACCTATCTCTAGAAGATGTCCATTTACTATCTCTATCACTCGTATCTCTACCCTTATAAAACCCATCATCCTTTACTAATTCTCTATTTCTACTCCTTTTGTACTCTTCCACTTCCTTATCATACTCATCCTTATATCTATCTATTGACTTATCTCTATGTCTATCTCTTTCTCTATTTCTTCCATCATCTTTACTTCGACTCGAATGCCCCTTGTAAAAATCATTATGAGAATAATGTCTATCCTTTTGCCTATCCTTATCTCTGCTACTGTAACTTTTAGTTTTTGCCCTTTTATCACTCCTTTCCTTGCTCCTACTCCTGCTACGTTTTCTTGAATCTCTGTCAGACTTGTGTTTATGTTTGCTCTTGCGTTTTTTCTTTCTATCATCATCGGAATCAACAATTTCTCCTTCTGAATGTTCTCTCTCTTTTTCTTTCAGGACTTCACTTACAGAAGATGACTTGAGGTCCTTGATGACAATTTTATTCTTTCCATTCCTATTATCTCCAGCATTATTTTCGTCATCTAAAATATATGATCAATTTGTAAACATATCTAATGATAAAAGATTTTGTTTGTACTTATGGTAGAAAAAAGCTAAAAAATCAGTCTCGGTCAAAAAGTAGTCATGAAAAAATTTATCAAATGCCTATTTCAAAAATTAACAGTTCATTTAAAAGCTCTTTACAATTTTGAAATAACAGCCCTGCAAGTTGTTTGCGGATATATTTAAACACTCAATGAAAGTTCTTTATTAAATAATGTGTCTACAGGGTGACAGGTAAATAGGTGTAAAACATTTTAGGAGGTGATAGTACAGCCCCTTTGCTATCGAAATTAGTATATAAAACCAAACCATATATTCAAAGGTTGAAAAGTTATTGAAGATTTAAGATTTTTTTAAAAACAATCCATATTTCAGAGTAAAAAAAAACTATTATAAATTAAAAAAGATTCGAAAACAATACCAACCAACGTATTTATTTTCATTCAAAAATGTTTAACTAAGGAAAACAAATAACGTTTTACAGTAAGTAAGGTGTTTTACAAAAAAATCAGTATACAAAAAAACGTACAAACAATTTAAATAATATCCTTGTTTCATAAGGAATCCAAATTGGTATGATAAGTGCACAAAAACTGTGTGAAACTAAACATAATGTATGGTAATAAAACAATAGGGAGTAAATTTACCAATGGCTTGTCTCCTATTTTCACAACTCTCTGATTGATAAGAAAGTGTTTATGTGAAAATAATGTAACTGTAAGCTATGGGATAGTTATTATTTTAAACTACGGTTAAGTTACACGATTAGATTATTTACACAGTTGTAATTGTACTGCAGAATAATAAAAACTGACTAAAAGTTACTACAATTGGTAAGTAAAATACAATAATGAAATGAAGGTAAAATTCATTGCAATTGTTGTTCGAACTGACGCCCGCTGTTTCTTATCCAAGCCCGTAGTCTTTTTCTCTTGTTGGTACGTGTGATGCGGCCAGTTAGTTGTCCTCTGATAGTGTCAGCAGCAGCAATAATTCTTTCTTTCAACTGTGCAAGAGTGTCTATGGGCTCAGCGTACACCAGTGACTTCATGTGCCCCCATAAATAATAGTCACACAGTGTTAAATCTGGGCTCCTCGCTGGCCACGGTGTCGGTCCACCTCGGCCAATCCAGCGACAAGGATATTTCTCGTCCAGCCACTGTCTAACACCCAGACGGAAATGCGCGGGACAGCCATCGTGTTGGTAGATCATCTGCATCCTGATATTCAGAGGCAGGTCTTCGAGATACTCCCAGAGTTCGAATCTCAAAAAGTTTTCATAGGATTCGCCATTCAGGTTGTCAGGCAAAAAAACTGGTCCAATTAGATACGTATGAATGATTCCCATCCACACGTTTGCCGAAAATCTTCTTTGATGGGCTCTTGGTTTTGTCATGTGGGGATTTGCCTCTCGTGGGGCCCAATAATGTAAGTTGTGATAATTTGTTGTCCCCTCTCTGTCAAACTTAGACTCGTCGGTCCACAATATTTTAGTTAAATAGTCGTTTTCTTCTTGATCCCGATGAAGCATGTATCGACAAAAATCAATTCTTCTTGCAGGATCTCCTTCTTCTAATACTTGAACCGGTGTGTAATGGAAAGGGTAAAGTCTCGCCGAATGCAAAACGAACCAAACTTTCCACTGAGTTAAACCAAGCTGCTTTGATATAACTCATGTAGACGTCGTCGGGTCTCTGCCATAGCATTCCAGTATTGCCTCTCGATCTTCGTCGTCAAACAACCGAGGTCTACCAGCATCATGATGTCTCTCATGAACCTGTCCACTTATAACACACGCAGAGCTTGCTTCCGAGGAGCGACGACAGATTCCGAATACTTAAACCCGAATAACGGCACAGGGCACAAAAAATAACAAAGAGGGTCGAACCACGAAAGGCTCGGTTTACCTGCTCAGTACAATGAAATGCGCTTAGCACTCCTTTCTAGTAAAGTAATATTGTTTTGTTACATGGTTTACTTACTGATATGTTATTATACCATTTTAGAAACCTAATGAAACGAGGAAATTTTGCAGTTATTTGTACATTTCCTTTATTATGATTTTTTTGAAAGAAAAAGACTTCTTAATGTAAAAGTTGAAAATAAAAATTTTTATTTAACATTTAAATGAAAATAAATACGTTATCAGTAGTGTTTTCATATGTTTTTTAATTTATGAGAATTATTTATTTAAATAATAACCTGAAACCACCAAAAAAAGAATGTTTAGTCACCAACTTTTTTTTATCTCAACTATTTTACTCTGTAATCTGGGTTGTTTTTTAATAAAAAATTAAATGTTCCATAACTTTTTAACCTTTGAATATAGGGTAACGTACTAAATGTTTAGTGCAATAAAGACCCTTTATTATTATTATTATTATTATATACTAATTTTGATAGCAAAGGAGCTGTACTATCACCTCCTAAAATGTTTTACACCTATTTACCTGTCACCCTGTATATCTTAAAAGAACTTAAAAATGTCTACTAATATGATGGAATTAGAAGAAATAATTATGACTACATTACCTATGCTAGTTTGATTTTTATTTTCAGCCTCAGCATCAGTATTTTCTTTCTTTACTTTTACATATTCTGCTTTAATTTTCCTTGAACCCACGTCATCTTCTTTTTTGACTTCCTGTTTAATATTATTCAAATCCAATTCAACACTGGTGCCTTCGATTTTAATCTTTTGTTCAGCTTTGGTTTGCCTAATCAGTATTTTAGCCAGGTCTACCTCAGAATTGCCACCACTAGAGGAACTACCTGATCTCCTTTTCTTTTTATCTTTCTTCTTATGTTTCCTATCTTTATGCTTATGTTTTTTCTTCTTTTTGTGTTTCTTCCCAGATTCCTCAGACTTTTCTCTTTTTATTATCAAAGGCGGCTCTGCATGAAATGTGCTAAATAATTCTGACAGAATCTCCATCGAAGATTTCGATGGAATTGATGGCTTTTGCTCTTTCTCATTATCTGAACTTGACATCTTAACTTGGTGTTATTGAGGATTATAAAATTCTGCAAGAAAGAAATTAAAATATCAAGAGTTAAATATGATAAGTTTCCACGATGAAATTAGGTAAGTGATTAGTACAGGTCTCACAAGGTAGATCTGGATATTGATTGTTTGGACTAGACAGTTGATACCCTAAAAATAAGGATACTCATATTAGAACAACATAAGTGCTACTTTTTGCTTCTTTCATTCATAACTATATACTCATATTATAGGGGCAAGTCAAAGAAGATAAAATAACTGCAGTTTGTGATCGTATTTTTTCATACATAATAATACCTACTACTAGTAACAAATGAGCTCAGAGGGAAAAAAGACCATACCTTAAAATTCTCAGATCGTTGTCTGTGGTTATCGTGGACTATTTGTTAATATTTATTTACGTGTTTTTATCAGCGATTTAAGAATTATTTTTTGTGTATTTTGACACTTATTTTTTGCTTGACACGAACCGACAGCTAGCTGTCAAGTATGTCGACAATTTTGACATCAACAACTGATGGGAACAATCCAGGTACATAGCTGGATCCCTACTCTGAAGTTAGGCAGAGGCGGTACATACTTTTATTATGGTAATGTCACCAAATGTTGCGAATAGCGTAATAAGCGTAAGCCTACCATAAGATTTCATCGAGTATTGTATTTCTACATTTCCTAAAAAAAATATAAACTGCTGTCCTGATTCGGGTCTAAAGGCTGTCATCGGTTGGAATTTCTTCCTAACGTTTCGCTAGCACAAGTGGCAAGCTTCTTCAGAGGTCCTTCCATTTCCGATGCTGGATGTAGATAGACGATTTCTCTTGCGCAGGTTGCATTTATACCGGAGGGTAGGTGACGTGGCTTGTTCCGTTTCGGTTGACTTCGGGATGTCGATCGGCACTGCTCGAGCGTTTCTGAGGATCGGGTACCAGATCGGGTTGAGTCTGAGGGTCTCTTCCTTCCTGTTGAAGTTATCTGGATGTTTGTGGATCTCGATAGCTTCCCTGACCAGTCTATTGTGATAGCCGTTGACTGATGACAGCAACCTGCAGCTTCCAAAGTGTATCCTGTGGCCCCATTGCTTAGTGCATGTTCAGCTACCGCAGACTTCTCAGTTTGTCCTAGCCGGCAATTTGCTTTGTGCTCCTTGAGTCTCGTTCCCATTCTTTTCGTGGTTCCAATGTATACTTTGCCGCATGAACACGGTATGCGGTAGACTCCTGCAGCTGAGAGTGGGTCCTTCTTGTCCTTTGCCGATCTGATGGTTTGTTGGATCTTCTTCGTAGGCTTGAAGATTGTTTTAATGTCATGTCTCTTCAGAACTCTGCCAATCCTGTCCGTGACTCTTGCCACAAATGGAAGATACGCTTGAGAGGTGGTTGGACGCTGTTCGGTTTCACGTGGCCTGGCTGATTTCGAGCCCATTGACCTTTCGATGTCCCTCTTGCTGTAGCCATTTGCTTCGAACGCAGTTTTTAGGTGTTCAAGTTCTCCGGTTCGGAAATCTTTCGAGCTCGTTCTGTCGGGGTTCTGATGACTCTATACTTCTGACTTGGGTGATGATTGGACAAAGCGTGAAGGTATTTATTTAAACTCGTTTAGCCTGTCCGTGCCATGTTTCCAAATCACGAAGGTGTCGTCCACGTACCGGAACCAAATTGCTGGTTTGTTCTCCGATGTCTCAACCGCCGTCTTCTCAAAGTGTTCCATGAAAAGGTTGGCTATAACTGGGCTAAGTGGACTTCCCATTGCCACTCCGTCTGTCTGCTCATAAAAGCCCCTGTCCCATACGAAGTAGCTTCCAGTGAGACAGATTTCAAAGAGCTTGCAGATGTCAGAAGGGAAGATCCTGCTCACCAGATCCAGGCATTCCCTCAGCGGTACCCTGGGCGCACAAAGTCGGTGGAATCCTTAATGTAGCTGGTACTCTTTCCCATTTCTAACGAATCGTCAAGCCTTCCGTTAGTTATTTTTGACAGCGACAGCAAATAATGAATGTCGATGAAAGTAGCTTTTATGAGCAGCAAAGTAAACCATGGTCATTTGACACTATTGCCGTACTTCTGTAAGCCCAAGAAATTAGAAATCCTTGTTAATTTTTTTCCTAGAAAAATATCGGTAATATTTGTGTCCAAGCCGGAGATGAAATGAATAGACTTTAGAATCATAAAATCTCAGCAGGACAAGTGACCACAAAACCAGCAGAACTACAACAAAATGCTATATATATTTATTTTCATGTGTGACTAAATATTCCTATTAAACCTTAGCCAGTATATTTTTATAATTTATTTTAATTAAGCTTATCCAGGTTTACAAATTCTGACAACAGGACTGAATAAGGAAAATATAACCTTACGAAATAAGCCCGTCTCTATTCTCCGATATTAGCGCAGCTTTCTTATTTCGCTGGAGGATAACTGAGGATTGTATCGCTACCGCGAAAATTGAAACAAAGAAATCTCTTGCGGATCTCTCAGTATTGGAGTATACATTTTGTTTAGCGAGCGAGAGACAAACACGTATGTTAGAGCAATGATTATTTTGATCTTGATTTCTAATTTCCTTAATCTACTGCATAAACAGAACAAAATGAAAGCGTATGTTCTAGTATAATTCAATTCGAGCAATGATTGACAATATTGCTTATATTCTTATAAACCCTGAAACCTAGTAACCCCAGTCCCAGTTGTGCCGCCACTGTGAGGTAGGTTCCAATGTGATCTAGTGTACACTTCTAGATATGTTGTGGTTAATTTTAGATAAATTTTTGATTTTTATAAACAATGATTCAAATATTTATCATATCGGTTTAACAGACATGTTTCAAATAGTATTTTAACGAAACTCATCTCTTTATGATTAGCTTCGACTACTCGGCACGGCAGAATTATGTAACAGTGTCGTGACGTCACGATAATTCACAGTTGTCATCGCCGAAAAGTGATGATACAATGTCATAATTTATATAATTTCAAATTATCTCATTGTTTAAATACTGGGAAGTGATATCTGCCCGTTTAGTATGCGTTTAGTTATGAATGTGTGTTTAAATGTATCGAAATAAAGTGCCAAAATGATTCTAAAACATTTGTCTTGCCGTATGTGTGGTTGCCTAATCTTTGATAGGTTTAGGTCGTAAGTGTGGTTGTCTAGCAAAACATTGTTTTAATATGCATTTGTTTAACTTATTTGTTAAAGGAACACGCTGTATGAACTGACAATGAGCGACACTGCTTCTATGCGATATTTACTTAAAAAATACTCAACAAATTCCATTGTTAACACTTGCAAAGTAAACAGATATCGTCGTACTCTGGTTTTATTTTATAGATAAAAATACACTCTAGCGCCGAGTCATTTGCCGACGAGAGCAAGCTGACTTATGTCGATTTATAAGAAACATACCTACTTGATTTATTTTTTGATAGAACAAAAATAACCGCATAGTTTTGAATTAGATGATTTTGAACTCTTCATTTGAAGCATTTGCCGTTTACACTGCCAGTTTTATTGCACATAAAAGCGAAAATATAACCTCTGTGTATCAGTGAATTCATTTGTTTTTAGTGTTAGCCTTATGTTCAGAAATATGGATTTTACGGAAGCACAAAAGTTCGATGCACACGGCAAGAAGTGGTACAGGGATGCTAGGCAGAGGTAAGTCGATTTTTCATTAATTTGTTAGTTTTATCCAATATAGGAGCAGGCACTGAATTTTCTGTTATTGATTTATAAGCGCGAATAAATGTGTGCACGACTATAAGCATTCTCCGATTTTCTACAGCGTTTTGTCTTTTGTTATTATTTCATGTTTTTTCTAGGAGACGTACCTAGATACCTATCACCTATCTTATTTATTGAAATACCTAGGTTTTCGGGTTGTCGTTACAACAGAAAATAATTTATACACGGATGTTAATTTTTTTCGATATAAGCTCTAATATTTATTATATTTATGAACAAATCTATTGGCGATTGGCAGATGCATCCACATCTGATATTCTCTTGTACAACCGGAGACAAAAGAATGGGCGACGTTGTCCCCATGATAAGGAAGATTGGAAAAGTGGCAACCATGCAGAGGTGGTTGTATGTTCGAGCAATATTTCATGAATGCGCTGAAATACTATCAATACTATTTACGTGAGATTATTATGCAACTAATTTAGCTCTTAACTGTACGCTGAAAGCACATCTTACTGACTTCTCTATTGATGCGGTGTTGCCAAGTTGTGTATTTCGTCAAAAAGAGGAACGATATCACAATCACAATTTATTTTGTAGTACTCTTGGATATTTATTGAACCATAATATGTTGGTATATATCAAACCAGTGATTCTGTATTGTATTTTATCTATTACCGAGCGGTAGTATGTGTCCTATATTCATCGGCAACGAGAACTGTATACTTGTATTTATTTGCTGGTAAAAGGCAATGGCTGCAACTACTCCCACTCATCAGTGAGATAGTATTTACAATCAATTTATTTTTATATACATACACTTAAAAGCTATTCTCAATATTGGACTTATTCTGTAGCCTTGGCCTCAAATTTCTCGCCACAAGCCATAAACGCCTCCTTTATGCCCTAGACGTATTATGTCAGTGAACTGTCCGTTTTACTAAGGGCCGTAAGTCAGTCGTTTCTACAATTGTAGGACGCCTTTATGGCCTCCTTGATTTTCATAGTCTTTTCTCTCCTTCAGAAAGGTTGTGGTATTTCTAGATTTCTACAGTTACGTGTCACCGTCAACGTTCTCCTATTGTGAGGCTATGTTTTCTTTTTGAATTGTAGGAGAATTTAGGTTGGTATAACAGATTATATAAATCAAAATCGTGAATAATTTGAATCAAATTATTATTTGTAACATAACCTCAAAATAGAGCGCTGACATGAAACAGAAAACTATGAAAATCAAGCAGGCCATAAAGGGGTGATACGACTGACGATACGGTCGTAGAACACTCGGAAAATGTGTCTTGATATTTATATAATATAATATATAGGTACCTGGACC